GAATTGAAATGGTAATTTTTATAGATATTGAAAAACTAGCTATCAAACTTAAACTCAAAAACATAATTAGTAGCATGATGTAATTAAAAAATTTTGTATATAAATAAATATAAAAATGAATCGAAATAATAAAATTATCCATATCTATGAGTTGATAAATAAAGATGAGGTATTATTGCAGTCTTTGAAAGCAGGAGATGTATATTTATGCTCAAAATGTGAAACATTCAAGAGTGTTAATGAATTTAGTAAAACCAAAATGGTGTAAAAGTTGTATGAAAACCAAAGTTAGCACTGAATTGGTAGCATGTGAATGTGGTCAAGTAATGCATTTAAGAGCCCATAAGAGGCATTTGTTAACTAAATCTCACTCAAAAAGGATGGATAATATGAGTAAAGAGAACACTCCTCAAGAATAATTTTCGTTATTAAAAAATTTACTTATTAAATAAAAACAAAAATTTCTATTTAAAAAAAAAAAAAAAAAAAAAATAACTTTGTCAATAAATTATATTAATAAATGGATAATCAGGTTTCAATAAGATTTATAAAAACTGAGAAAAAAAATAAAGACATAGATGTTTCAAAATGGTTTAAGTTTTTTCAAGCACATAATAAATATTTAAATAAAAGTGATAAACAGATAGAACATTTTTTAAGAAACTACACATTTTGCATACAATATGGAAAGAAAATTGCTACTCAGAATTTGGAAGGATTGTATAGTATTTTAATTGGAAAAATAAAGCATTCATCATATAATGACAGTAGATTAGAGATTATTTTTAAATTAACTGACGAAGAAAAACATTATTGGTTAACAGGATTTCCATTTAAATTTCATGAAGATATAATAGAGCAACCCAGTAAGGAACAATCTATTTATAAGCCTACATTTTACGAAGAAAATTTTAAAAGTAGACATACTCAATTTGAAATTGGTAATAAAACTGGAATTAAAAATATACCGGATTTTATAGATAGTACAAAGAAATCTGTTTTTGGTCTTATTAAGAAATGGTTATTTAAACATAAGTCTGTAAAAGCTCATTTATGTGTTATTTGTACTTATGAAAAAGGTGGTATTATAGATGTTGTAGAATCAGCAGTTAAATATTTGCAAACACCGAATTATGATTTTCCAGAGTCAAATTTAGATGAAATATATAAAGAAATGAAAGCTAAAATATTATATGAACATGAACGTGTTTCAGATAGCTTAAGAGGATCGCAATGGGTGTTAATTTCAATTAACACTCTCAATGTAGCCATAAATAAATATGCTCCCATAAAGGGTAGCTCTTATATACCAACTCCAGTAAAAATAGCTAACAGAAAAGCAGTTATAAATGTAAAAAATAAAGATGATGATAAATGTTTTTTATGGTCAATTTTGGCTCATTTATATCCAGTTGTTGAGAATCCGCAAAGAGTAACAAAATATAAGAAATATGAAAATTTGTTTAATTATATGTTTATAGATATTGAGTATCCAATGGAAGTTAGTAAGATTCCTAGTTTTTTAAACAGTGTTAATAAAACAAATTTGATTGAAGGTGGATTATCTATTAATGTTTATCATCATGTTGAGAAATATAATATAAACCCCTTATATGTAACGAAAGATGAGAAAAAAGTACATATTGATTTATTATTTTTGAAAGACGGTGATAATACACATTATTGTTTAATAAAAAATTTATGGGGGTTAGTTAAGGGTCAAATTACTAAAAATTGTAAAAAGAGATATCTTTGCAGAATGTGTTTAAATAGTTTTCAAACTGAAGAAAAATTGTTAAATCATAGGAGTTACTGTGCATTAAATAAGACATCACGGTTGAGAATGCCGAATGAATATAATAATCTTATTCAATTTAAAAATTTTAATCATAAAATGAAAGTGCCTTTTGTTATTTATGCAGATTTTGAAAGTGTTATAAAACAGATAAATGAGAGAAAGAAAAATTGTAGTACAGTTAAAATTCAGAAACATATTGCAATAAGTTTTGTTTATATTATTGCAGGGCTTAAAACCGTTATCAATGAAGTCGGTAATCGGCTCCGGTAGGAGCCGAAAAATTTTGAAAACCGGAAACCGGTTATCGTTTATCTTTAAAGATGTTTCAAACACTATGATAACCGTTAATCGTTTAAAAACCGTTGATTATAATTTTTGGTAATCGGTTACCGGTTAAAACCGGTTTTTAAAAATCATTTTTTTAAAAATTTTTTATCATATTTTTGAAACAGTTTATTTAGGTTATTCGTGGGTTGATAACATAACTATTATTATTACAAAATCAAAATCTTAATATGCTTTAATTTGGTCGATTTCCTTCAATTTAAATATTTATTTTTTCAAACTGATTTAAAGTTTAAAACATATGATTAAGATAATGGCGATATTAATAAATCAAAAAAATAAATTGCATAAAAAAATGTTATTGTTATAATTTTCTTCTTTATAACCGTAAAAAACCGAAATAATATATAATTTTTTTGAAGGGCAAAAATGTGTTTCTCCAAGTTTGACGAATGCTTACCCGGTTATATACTTGGTACATCCCACTACATTACATTTACTACTGTTTTTATTTATAACATACGTAAAATACATTTCAAGAACAGGGTTCTTCATTTTTAATTTCCATGTATAATATATGTAGTTATTCTTCAAATTATTTAAATCTTAACCCCTTTAAACAACAGCTTTAAAATAATATCATTGACCAATGTATAAAGTATAAAGTGTGATAGACAGTATTAAAATGTCGTAAATACTAAATGGACTAAGCTCCTATTCCACCAACTATTTCGTAATAGGAATCAGCGCCCGAGGACGACGACGATGTTTATGACGGTATTTATAATATTAGTTATACAAATAATACAATTATACCTATATATATATATATATATATATATATATATATATATATATATATATATATATATATATATATATATATATATATATGTGATATTCACAACAAATAAGCAATACTCGACGACAATTAATTGGGGAAAGAAATTTAAAAATAGCTGGAAAATTAAATTCAACTATAATGTAATCATGACATAATTCAAGTATTAAATTCCACGAAAAAACCGTTAATTTTTTGGTCGGGAATAGATTTTGGTTATAATACCGGGATTGAAAAAACGAGGTAACCGCTTTGATGTTAATATTTAGATATTTACCTTGATAACCGATAACCAATAACCGCTTCCAGCATTCCAAAACTAAGAACGGTTATCGGTTTTTGGTTCTCAAATTTACGGTTTTTTACCGGTTTTCGTTACAAACCGGTTACCGGTTTTAAGCCCTGTATTATTGTATATGCCAATGGTGATTTTGAAAGAAAAACTTTTGAATATTTTGGTGAAGATGCTCCAAAAGTATTATATAAAAAATTAAGAGAAGATGCTATATATATAGCTAAAAATTATTTAAATAATGTTAAGAAAATGAATGAGTTAACCGAGATACAGAAAAAAGAGTATGAAAATGCAACAATTTGTCATATTTGTGAAGAAAAATTAACTAGCGTACCTGCCCATATTTCAAGTGACTTTAAATGGAAAGATATTAATATAGTTGATTATATAAAAGAGAAACTTTATAAAGTTCGAGATCATGATCATTTAACAGGTCTATATAGGGGACCTGCCCATAAATATTGTAATTTTACTTTTGAAGTTCCAAGATTTATTCCTGTTTTCTTTCATAATTTTTCAGGTTATGATTCACATTTATTAGTTAAAGAATAAGGATTTGATACCGGTGATATAGATCTTATTCCCACAAGCGAGGAAAAATATATTTCATTTTCTAAGAGAATAAGGTATTCTCAATATTCTGATGTTGAACTTAGGTTCTTAGATTCTTATAGGTTCCAACCTAGTTCTTTGTCTAAGTTAGCTGATAATATGAATTTATGTAATTTTAATGTTTTAAAAAAATGGTTTGAAAAAACTGTTCCTGATAATTTAAGTGAATTGGAAAGAAAGTATTTATTTAGATTATTAACAAAAAAATTAGCTTTTCCATACGATTATAATTCGCACACCCAGAAGAAGAACGACACAACTCAAATATAATAATTATACAGTACGGGTAAAAATCATAATGGCTAAAAATTAAAATTAACATAAAAATTAAAGTTCTCATTCTACATACTTGGTATTTACACCAATAGATTCAAATTCATATTCTCTATCAAACATGTATTCTACAAATTTAAAAAAAGTTTTGGGTCTAATATTTAAATCAGTTATGTCTATTTTACTTTTTATTTTTTTTATCATAACCTTTGAGTTGGGTCCATTTGTAATAACTAAGAGAACACGTACTATTACTTTATAATATGATTGTTGCGTTACAATATCATATTTTATTTAATATTTCGTAAGCTTAAAAATACATCAATTTAAGTCATAAGTCGTAAGTAGAAAATAAAAATAAATAATTAATATAAATAATTTGTACAATACAAAAAGTCATAAAATGCCATGTTTAAAATTTAAATAATACTGTTGAAATAACTATGATATAGTTGGGGTATTAAATTTTGCTTACACAAGTCTAGCAAATCAGATTTTTTCGCTGCACTTATTTCAGGTGGACAGTTGTAAGCTCTTTTGAGTACCAAACTTTTGAAATTGCTATTTCGTGTTTCTCTTCTAACCTAATAAATAATATACAATTTAAAAAAATAAGTTCTTTGGATTTTATTATATTAATACATTTATTTTAAATTTAAATTATAATCACCTTGATTATTTGGTAATCCGTATTGTTAAATGATGTTCTTAGTTTCAATGTGTATGGATTTGCTTTGTCGACACGAATTTCTTTGATGTCATTCCACACAACTTTTTTACCATTTACATCCATGTTAAAATTTGTACCGATATCTTTGCTTAAATTTTTAAAATCGAAAAAATCTTCAGTAGACATTTATTTTACGGTGTATGGTTTTCCTTTTTGTTTTGCTGACTTAATGACTGCTACCCATTGAGACGGTACATAGATCGGGCCACTTCGGAGTACCAATTTTTTTTGACGTTCTATTACTGAATGCATAGTCTCCTTCATTTTGTGTGTGGCCCACGATTAGAAACTTGTAACGAATTGTATTGATATTTAATACTAATGATGCGTATAAATATAAACATGCAATAAATTTATTTTTATTTTGTCCTGAACAGTTGTCAGAATAAAATATTATATCTGCTAAATTATTTTCAGTACCATTAAATTCACTACGTATAAAATCCAATAAACAAGTACCAATTTCATTTGCACCCCGGTTTGCTATTGTTTCATTCCAGACGTAACACGTTCCTTCTCCGTTCTTCATATTATAAACTGTAAAGTTGTATGTTGCTAACCGTCTTTTGTAATAAAAGCTTGATACTTCACCGTCAGGTGCAATCAATATAGCTTGTAAATCAAAACAAGCGGTAAACTGAAAACCATCGATTGCTTTTTGTTTATCATCTTCTTTTTCCAAACGAACAGCATTTTTTTCAGAAAGATGAAGATTTTGCAATAATTCTATTTCGTCAATTTTATTTTCTGTGTTTTTGTATGATTCACAAGTATTACATAGATCTTTTTTTGGTACAAAAAAACCAATATTGTAATTATAATTAAAAATATGTTGATACATAGCGAGATTAGACCATTTTTGCATACCTTGTTCTTTACAATATTCGACGTACATTCTGTACATTTTTGCTACATTTAAATTTCCAGCAATATAAGTTCTTGTAGTCTGCTTTCTGAGATAATGTGACTCAATTGTCGGAAAAAGTTCTCGGTGTTTTTGTATCGACTGTTTGATATTTGAATCAAGTGATTTATGTTTCTTATGTTTGCCTCTAAAATCATCGTCTAGAAAACCATTTTTCATTTTTTCTTTAACAGTTCGTATCATTCTATCTGAAATACTTAACGTAGGTATTCAAAAAAAAAGTTTTACATACTTTCACTCGTGTGGAATTAATATTAAAAAAAAAAACATAGTTCAATGATCTTGAACTACCTGCTATCGCATATCGATGTTTTGGATTAATTTCGTCGATATGCCTACTTACAAAGTCACGCTGTTTTGATAAATTTGCTAGATTCCAAAAATCTTCGAAAATACATTTTCTTTGCTCTTCATTTATTTTACTCGTACATTTAATTCTACAATTCGTACTACATGGGCCTCGCATAGATTTAGCATCAATAAGTTGATTTTTAGAATTTTCGTACTGTAATTCTGAATTTTTATTTTTACGCATGACATTTTTCTTCCATTTTTTGGTCAAACGCTTACGTTTTCTAGTCGGTGTGTTAACTTCTTCCAAATCTGAAGATGAAGAAGTGGCTGGAATAATATTAACATCAGGTAAATCCGATTCATGATTCTTTTCAATTGGTGGTACATTTTCTTCATCGCTATTAAAAGCTAATATTGAATCATATTCAATCACATTTAACGGGGTCCAGTCACTACCGCTATCTTCAAAAAAATCATCAGAACTTTCACTTTCCATTTTATTTAAAAAAAACACACTTTTATAATCTTATATAATAAAACGCTAATAACGCGTATAAGATCCGCGGGGAGCGCTCACGGCACTCCGCGTTTCTTCCATGACGACCAATCACAATACTTCCCGCGCGTTCGCTATAAATTCCGCTCGCTTATCTCCCATTTCCTTATCGACGAATATTTTCGAACTTTATTATTATTATTATTATTCCGTATTTCTATATATTATGAAAATTGGGATATTTCCGTGTGTAATATAATATGTAAAACGAAAAATTCAGAAACGGTTCAAGTGCTCGAGATTCAAAAATTCAAAAACCTGTGTTTTTCAATTTTTTGACGAAAAAATAACGCGACCATCGGCGGAGTGGGGGGGGACCCATTAAACGAGTAATTATTTTTGACGAAGCATAACTTAGCCGGTATTCGACTTAGAGACCCCGTACCAATGGGCATCTCAATTTTTTAGGCCCCAGATGAATTTTCAACATTAGGGAACCAAAGCCCCCACCCCCCCACATTTTGAGTTGAGTATAACTCGGCCGGAATTCAAGTTAAAGACCTCGGACCAAGGGGGAACCCATTCTTTTTATGAATACTACCGTTTTCCGCTTTAGGGAACGGGGGCACCTCCTCCCCCCCTTTTTGGATTTTGATTTTTTGATGGATTTTGGTCCGGGAGAGTACTAACACCCACCTCGCCAAGGGGAAACTCGGGGTTTTGAGTTTTTGATAGGATTTATTCGGATTTTCTTAAATATTGTTTTTATTGATAAGGAAAGTGATAAGAATTTTATTTTATCGCCACGAGCACGGCGACGCGGCTTAAGAGTCATACATTTGCCTCGGAATTTCATCTGAGTAGGTGGCTAGGTTGGTTAGGCGTTAGGATAAGTGACTCGAGGGTCGTGGGTTCGAACCCGGCCTCTGGGATTTTCCGGTTTTTGCCAATTTGATAATTTGAATGTTTTTTTTTCGAGTTTTTTTTTCGTCACATTTTTTTTTTTTTGGCAAAAAAATATTAATATATATTAAAGTAGATATTTTAAATTGTAACTAAATTGTATAATGATACTGTACTATTTTATAAATAATAATAATAATAATACTTGATTTTACCGTGACCAACGCACCTATATGTTTCTTATATAAATACAATATAATATAACTAACCTACATGTAGTACCTACTTGATATATTACAGTTTTTAGGTTTAATACTGTTTAATACGGTATTAATAAACTAATAGATCTAATAGAACTGATTAAACTCTGGCAGTTAAATAGTACGACTATATGACTGCTCTTTTTGCCGTTTTTTTTGAAAATTATAGTTTTAGCCCCTTTCGGTCATATCACCCTCCCCGTCGACTACTTATTCGCGTTCCCTGCTATATTTATAGCCACAGACGAGTCCCGGGGTGGATAAGTGTGTCGGAAACGAGAGTAGGTACCGTGTAGGTATCGCTATATACAGGCATATATACGCATGTATATACATGCGCCTCGAGGTTCGATTTTTTTCGCAAATCTCGCGTTTTGAACGTCCGAAGGTGGCGGACACGGTGGTCCGCTCAAACGCCCTTAAGAGTCATAGATTTGACTCCTAATTTCATCTCGGTAGGTGGCTAGGTAGGTTAGGCGTTACAACGGGTGATCGACGGTCGTGGTTTCGAACGCCGGCGGGCCGTGTTAAATCAAATTTCTTTTTTTTGCGTTTTTTTTTTCGTCACATTTATCATTTTTAACGAAAGTGTTAATTTTTTTTTAAATTTGCATTATTATATTATATATATTATTATTATTTGTTTGACGATATTTATTGGGCAAAAAAATAATTATAATTAACATTTACCGACGCACCTACATGTTTCTTTTAATAATACATTATAATATAACTAACCTACGTGTAGTACCTACTTGATATATTACAGTTTTTACGTGATTCCGATTTGGTTAAATACTGCTACAGATTATAAATACTATATTAAAAATTAGTACGACTGTAATATGACTGCTTCATTTGCCGTTTTTTTCGAAAATTCGAGTCCCGGGGTGGAGTAGTGTGTCGGAAACGAGAGTATGTATAGTGTATTCATTTATAGATACCTACGTTTAATAGGATAGTATTACATTTCAATAAAATTTGTTATTCACCAATATAATTATCTATTTGTTAATTTGACTTAATTCTCATAATTAAATAAATATACAAGGTAGGTATATTTTAGAAAATATCCAATCAGAAAATTAGATTTTGTCGACTTATTTGTTATAACCGCGAAAACATAACAATGATTACATTGATTACAGTGAAGCCTAACATAAAACACCTGATAACTGTTCTCTATAATTATCAACAAATACAATTTTATTACCTCCTGTATACTTTTTCATATTTGAACGGCCGTTTCGAGCACTTTTCGCTGTAGGCGGATTGTCCGTTCGGGAATCGACTTTCATCTGAGATGACTGATAGCTAGACATTCAAACTCAGAATCCGAATTTCCGATTTCAACACACATACGAGAACCGGACACACACGCCTGGTGCATGGTCTGCGATCCGACGTAGTCGGATTGCCTACCTGACTAGCTACTTGCATACGAGCGACTTACACCCCCACTGCATCTGACACTCGGGAATCGACTTTCACCCGAGATGACTGATAGCTAGATACTCAAACTCAGAATCCGAATTTCCGATTTCAACACACATACGAGAACCGGACACACACGCCTGGTGCATGGTCTGCGATCCGACGTAGTCGGATTGCCTACCTGACTAGCTACTTGCATACGAGCGACTTACACCCCCAGTGTCCCCCACTGCATCCGACACTCGGGAATCGACTTTTACCCGAGATGACTGATAGCTAGACACTCAAACCCAGAATCCGAATTTCCGATTTCAACACACACACTCAAGAACCGGCATACACGAATGGGGCATGGTCTGCGATCCGACGTAGTCGGATTGCCTACCTGGCTGGCTGTGTCTTACGATCGACTTGAATCGCGTGACTTACGACTAGACACTCTTCCGAGTTCAAAAATTACCGCTTAAAAAGTGCTGCCAACACGACAAAACATAATACCCGACGACCCCCCTTCCCCCCGCAGGCTGGATCAAAAAACCCAGCATAGCCGACAAAGATGCACCACCACCCACACAGTCTTTCCGCCGTAGGCGGGATGACAAACACCGGAATCTAGTCTTATATAATAAAACGCTAATAATGCGTATAAGATCCGCGGGGAGCGCTCACGGCACTCCGCGTTTCTTCCATGACGACCAATCACAATACTTCCCGCGCGTTCGCTATAAAATATAAATTCCGCTCGCTTATCTCCCTTTTCCTTATCGACGAATATTTTCGAACATTATTATTATTATTAAAAGAAAACCCGTGTTTTTCAATTTTTTGACGTGATAATAACGTCTTATAAATCGATTACCCCGCGACCGTCGGGCCGAGTGGGGGGACCCATTAAACGAGTAATTATTTTTGACGAAGTATAACTTAGCCGGTATTCGACTTAGAGACCCCGTACCAATGGGCATCTCAATTTTTTAGGCCCCAGATGAATTTTCAACATTAGGGAACCAAAGCCCCCACCCCCCCACATTTTGAGTTGAGTATAACTCGGCCGGAATTCAAGTTAAAGACCTCGGACCAACGGGGAACCCATTCTTTTTATGAATACTACCGTTTTCCGCTTTAGGGAACGGGGGCACCTCCTCCCCCCCTTTTTGGATTTTGCTTTTTTGATGGATTTTGGTCCGGGAGAGTACTAACACCCACCTCGCCAAGGGGAAACTCGGGGTTTTGAGTTTTTGATAGGATTTATTGGGATTTTCTTAAATATTGTTTTTATTGATAAGGAAAGTGATAAGAATTTTATTTTATCGCCGCGAGCACGGCGACGCGGCTTAAGAGTCATACATTTGCCTCGAAATTTCATGTGAGTAGGTGGCTAGGTTGATTAGGCGTTAGGATAGGTGACCTACGAATATCATTATGCTGAAGAAATTTGGAAGTATTTCAACATAAAAAATATGCAAGAATTTAATATGTTATTCAACACTATAGATGTACTTTTATTAGCTGATGTTATGGAATATTTTAGAGAGACTTCGTTAAATACATATGGATTAGATCCAGCTTGGTATTATACTACACCCGGATTTGCTTGGAGTTGTATGTTAAAAACTACAAAACAAAAAATTGAATTAATTACTGATGTAGATATGCTTTTAATGTTTGAAAGGGCTAAACGGGGTGGTTTATCCCAGTGTTCAAATAGATATAGTGAACGTACGTGAAGTTGGCCCCCCCACTTTGAGCTACAGGTCCCAGACTTTTGCATGATTTTGCAATTAATTTGCTATAATTTGATATGTAATTTTCAGAATTTGCATATCTTTAGTTTTTCCGGAAAAAAAGATTTTGTGTTGGGGGGGCCAACTTCACGGTAGCCCCCCCACTTTGAGCTACAGATCCCAGACTTTTGCATGATTTTGCAATTAATTTGCTATAATTTGATATGTAATTTTCAAAATTTGCATACCTTTAGTTTTTCCGGAAAAAAAGATTTTGTGTTGGGGGAGCCAACTTCACGGTAGCCCCCCCACTTTGAGCTACAGATCCCAGACTTTTGCATGATTTTGCAATTAATTTGCTATAATTTGCTATGTTATTTTCAAAATTTGCATACCTTTAGTTTTTCCGGAAAAAAAGATTTTGTTTTGGGGGGGCCAGCTTCATGGTAGCCCCCCACTCTGAGCTACAGATCCCAGACTTTTGCATGATTTTGCAATTAATTTGCTATAATTTGCTATGTTATTTTCAGAATTTGCATACCTTTAGTTTTTCCGGAAAAAGAGATTTTGTGTTAGGGAGGCAACTTCACGGTAGCCTCCCACTTTGAGCTACAGATCCCAGACTTTTGCATGATTTTGCAATTAATTTGCTGGATTCCGGGATATGAAGAAAAATTGTAGTTAATACAAAAAAAAATTACACCAACATAATATTATTTTATAATTTGCAAAATGCTTTTTAGTACAAAATATAAACAAATTTCAAAAATTATTTATAGATTTCTACTTTCAAATTCTAATTTTCAGGATTACCATACACTCAATTTTCCGGAATAATTTTTTTAAGTGTGGGGGGGAGGTCTCCAATTTGACTCCAGGATTTCACATAACATATGCAATTAATAATTAATATACTATAATTTGCTATGAACAAAATAATAATCCTCTAAAAATGTTTTTTTTTTTTTATATATGTTTACCTTCATTATTTTAAAACTTAACAAAGCTAATTTTAAATTTGTAAATTTGTTGTATTTATAATTTAAGTGTTTAGAATTTATGATTTAAAATTATTTTATTTACTTACTAAAAATGTCACAACAAACTCACAGACAATTTATGTATGTGTCATACAATGTGAACCTGTTGTATGTACCTACATATTCGTTAAAAAATATATTATAATATGTTGTTATAAATTGCTAATAAACAAGAACCTTATTTTTAGTTTTGTGTTCAATAAAATAATAATTTTTAATTTTGTATTGCCATATTTCATATGACCAAATACACCAAAAAGTTCAACGACAACAAATTTAATAATAGTTTATAATAGTATATATTATAATGGATGATAAAAAGATTTAAAAATAACTGCAACTGCTTTAAAATATAAATGTTGTCTTGTAAATTGCTAATAATATTATGGATGATAAAAAGATTTAAAAATAAATGTAACTGCTTTAAAATATAAATTATGTTTTATAGTTTTACATAAAATATTATATGAGGGTTGATATGCTGCTTTCTGGAATTTTTTATTATTTTTATTTTTGGACGTAAGTCGTTGTGAGCTTCCCAAATTCCACAGGCTCTTCTTACATATCCAATGTAGTGATCAGAGCCATAGCCTATGGCGCCTCGAAGTATAAACCTACAAATGATAAATGTAATGTTAAATTGTACGTTAGGTTATTGGTTTTTAATTTTTATAATTTATTTTATCGTTCTTGGTTATAAACATATAGTTAGTATTGTGAGCTATAATGTAATAATAAATTGATTCAGGTTTAAACTTACATTTCTGAATTAACACATATCTCCACAGGAAAGTCATGTAATGAAAACTGTTGATCATCAGCAATACTATCAGCCTCAATAAATATATGGTTTTGTAGATACCTTATCGATGTTATTAAACCATCACAATTTATATCCGGACACTCGTAATATGTTTTGTCTACGTACTGATTTATTGCATTTTGCAAAGTTGAAAATTCGTGTCTCAATCCTAATATTATTGTTGGACTAGAAGTATGTCTTTTGGTGTAGGTACAATCCATTTTTGAACACACAATATCCTCGATGCTGGAAGGAGCAGTCTTCAACAAATTGGTTATAATAAACATGACATTGCATCTTGCATCAATTACTTTTAAATTAGTAATTCCTTCGTCTTCATTGAATATTTTTCGAATAATTGAAACTCGAGTGTTATACAAGCTCCGGAATGAACTGTTATTAGCTAATTGTTTTGAAAACTTTAGAAGTTCATTGTCATTACCATCAACAAAACATTTATAAGATGGTATATCTATGTATGCCATTGATAACATTACAACGACTGAATCGAATGGGCAGGTATTATACACAATATATTTGTCTTTTCCTAAACGAACGGGGGTGGTTGTATTACCATTAAGTATTAAACTATTTAAGTTTGACCTTAGATTCCTTGAACTTAATAATTTATCGATTTCCGGCATTGAATCCATATATTTTGTTGGTCTTTTTTTGCGATTCGTTGTTTTAATTTGTTGGATTGCATTTTGGTCTTTTCCTTGGCCATGCCAGTTTTCTATAGCATTCAGCGATGAATTAGAATCGTTTATATCACTTCGGGTATCACTACATATAGAAGGTTCATTTTTAGGAGATATTATTGATATTTCATCACGGTAATAATTTTCTTTTGCAACAGATTGAATTATTATTTTTTTTTTTTTCATGGTCAATTGATTCATCTAATGATTCAGATGAATTGTGTTCCGTCTGTATTGCCTGTTTGGAAGCCTCATTTCGTATCAATGAACTTTTTAAAAGTTTTGCATTAGCCTCTATATTACATATATGTTTTATTAAAAACCTGTCCACTGTCATTGGTCGTACATCATGTTTAAGAATCTGTGTCTTAAGTTCTTTAAAATCATTTTCTACAACAGCCGAACTTGCAACATCATATGGCGATTGAAATTTGTTTCTCATAACATTTGTCCAAATTGGAAATTCTTTACAAAGGCGTAAAATATTTATATCTAGATCTGGAATAAAGTATGCAGATAATCTATTACCTTTTATTTCTGAATTTAATTTACTCCTTTCATAAATTTCTTTCAAATATTCATCAATTTTGCTACCTGTTTGTGAACAAAAATTATTATCATCAGCTTTATCATCGCTATCATTTACAATGTTGTATGTATCATCTACCTCAATATCATTGATGAAAGTACTTTGTGAAGGTATTCCTCTTATTTTCTCTAAAATTAACTGTCGGCTAGTTTCAGATGGCGTTTGAATAGTTGTAGACCCTTCACACCAACCATCTGTTTCACTCAGAATGATTGTGAACAATGCTTCAAGAATACTAGTGAACTCAGGCAAAGTTTCTGAAGATAGAAGAAGCCGCAATCCACGAACATAAAATTCCTTAAGTGCTTTGTTCTTTATACCAGTTAACTGTTTTATTCGGCAAAATATTTTGATAACGTGTGCTACATCTATACGGATATAAGTAGCAGGCAATTTTTCATCTAGACCATTCAGTACATCAAAACAGTCATCCACATACATTTTAAGGCTTCTGCCATTACAAAATGCTCTTGATATGGCTCCTAATATTGCTTTTGAATAATCACATACTACTTCATTTGGATTTCGTGTGCCCTCCATCATCCACCGGCCTAACCAGTAAAAAATCGTTAGAGTATCCTGTTTCTCTGAAAGCATTTGAGTTACGGGTATATTTCCAACACTTGAACTTACTACAGCCTCATATAAAAATATATGACTTGATAAAATATTAATAGATGACCGTTTGAGTTTTTTTATCAAACTACCAGTTGCGTCTATTGATAGCTTACAATAGGTTTTGCTCAGATCCTTATAAATTGCCAGCTGATGTTTAGTCCAATAATGAACAATAAATGGATCGATGGCGATGAAATGTATGAAACCAGAATATGCAGAATTATGCTTTAATTCTATCAATGATTGTACTGGACATTTATTTTCGATTCCTAATTTTTTGTCTTTCGCTTCTTGTTTGACTTTTCGCAAAACATCATTTCGATATAGATTTGGTGGAGAAACGTTTCCAAATTCTAAATCTGATACATTTTTTCTTCTCCAATTACAAGCTAGATCATTCTCTAATTCATCACCTATGGCTTTACGTTTTTTTCCTCTTAATGGTCGTTTTGTAGTATGCTTAGTTTCAAGTCCAATTGTGTTTTTCGTTAATACAGATATTTCCAATGGTTCACCTTCTTTCGGTTTAAAATCACTCCAACCATAAAGATTTGCACCACAGCATTTATCTTTGCATTTTGCAGAAAATGTAATATAATGTTTACTATTACCTGATTCTGGGAAAACCTTAGCCCTTTTGTAAATAAAATTACATGGAAGTTTATATTTTGACAAAAATGCGTCATTTATAACATCAGCCCACACATTAGGTTTTAATACTTCATAGTTTCTTAATTTTGTTTTTCTTTTATATGTCACGGTATTTGGATAAATGGTCCTGAATAAATTGTAAGTCAAATTGAACTTGAACAGTTCTCTTCCAGAATTTAAAGATACAGATGAAGTATTTGATACAGAAGGTGATTCGTTACTTGAGGTTTCTTCGTCACTGACCTGATCTAAGAAAACATTATTCGGAATGATGCCAATAAGGTTTTTTAATTTTGTTTGAAAATTGTAGCGGTCATGAAAAACAGTTAAGAATATGCTCGTTGGTGACAGATTTCCTCCAAGTTCTCTAGAAATTTCATACCAAACTTTTTCTGAGACAGATATCATATGCCCAGATTCGTTAAATAAATCATGTTTTCTCTTTTCAAGAGCGTTAAACACTAAATCCAAATCAACTAATGGTTTTCTTCCTCTCTTCGTTTTTTGCTACAACCAATAACAAAATTAAATTCAAATAAGGACTCGTAATTTTTTTTTAAGTAAATAAAACTTATTCAGATCATTACTTATATAAAATTATAATGAAAATTTTAATAAAAAGAAAACAAAACCTTGTATTTTATATAATTATTACTAATTAACTAATTAGTCATTAATAACCTAAATGTATTAATTTAAACTACAACATTAAGTATCATAACATAATATATTTATATGTTTATATGAAAACATTATTTCACGTACATGTTATATAACTAAACTTTTATTTCAATTACATTTTTTGGTAATTTATTTTTTTTCATCAAATAAATTTTTTTTATCAAATATATCTTTTTTTTAAGATTTATTATTTCTTTTTAGATATTTTTTATTATATCAAGATTTATTTTTATGGCCATTTTTTAATTTGCCAACTTTAAAAATAAATTTATTTGTATTAACTATTTATTTGTTTAAAATAAAATAGTATATTGAATAGAAAATAATATATTTAATAAACATTTTTGACTCATGAAGTTAGGCCCCCCCTACTGGCCGATTCTATCCAAACCAAAATATTTTGAAAATGAACTGCAAATAATTGCAAATTCATTTTTAGAATTTTCAAATGAAGTTCAGTTGCAAATTAAAAAAAAATATCAATATAAAATCTAAATTTGATAAAAAAATCAGTATTTCATAAAAAAATAGAATTTCATAACAAATAGTATTTTATAAAAAAACATACATTTGATAAAAAAAATTAATAAAATATAATACAGTGAAACCTCTGAATAGCGAACACTCTCGGTCACTAAAATGTTGTCCGTTATTCAGAGGGGATACATTTAAGAAATTTATTTGAACATACAATAATGTATGTACTATTGTACTATGTATGTATGTATGTATGTATGTATGTATGACGTATGTATGTATAATGATTAATGTTCTTACTTATTATGGATTGTAAATTATTACATTTTAGATTCTGAGTGAAACGATGAATGTATTGATTTTACAATGATGTGTGTTTTTTTATTTTTTTTTTATTTTTTTTTTATTTTTTTTTTATTTTTTTTATTTTTTTTGTGTCTGTCATCACGTTTTGGGACAGTAAAAGTGCTTCGATTTTCTTCAATAGTACCTTTTCTGATAGGAAAGTGAATCTAGTTGGTACTTTGGGGGGTCAAAAGTATAAATTTCCCAGTAGTTTTCACAAGCGCCGGGAAAAACAACATAAAAATTAAGGAAAAACGGGAATTTTTACGCAAAATCGATTTTCCAAAAAATCGAATTTGGTTTTTGGTGTAACTTTAAAACAAATGACCGTAGATACATGAAATTTTCACTGGTTGTTTATATTTGCATTTTCTATACACGATAACATTTTCAAAATATTTAGATTTATTTTGAACTGTTTAGGGACATTTTCATTTTTCATTTTTTTTTAGTTTTTTTTTTAGAAATATCAATAAAATTTTATTTGTTGGTTGCGAAAGCTTGAAAATTTAATAGAAGGCTCCTAATATATTGTTTCAAAGGCAGATGAAAAATATTAAAAATCCTTAGTCACAATTTTTTTTTATAAGCATTTAAAGTTCAAAAATTGACAAAATATGGAAAAATCACGAAAATTAGCAAATTATTTTGAGTTAAGAATTCGTAAAAATTTTTCTTTTTAAATCTAAGATTTGAAAATGAAACACAAGATTCCTTATAAGATTATCTACCTTTATCAATAAAAAAATCTCTACCGGACAGTCAAATTAAATTTTTATGAGCGTTTGAAATTCAAATTTTTACAACATTGGATTTTCACTCGATTACTCATGTAGCGATTTCCTTATTTTGTTGCAATTCGAAAACGAACAACTGTAGATACATGAAAATTTCACTGAATGTTTAAATTAGCATTTTCTATACACCATACAACTTTGAAAATATTTTGACTCTTTTTGAGCTGTTTATGGACATTTTCAGTTTTCAATTTTTTTTAGTTTTTTTTTCTATAAATATCAATTAAGTTTTATCTGTTGGGCCAAAAAGTGTAAAAATTTAATACAAGGCTCCTGATATATTGTTACAATATCAGTTGAAAAATATTAAAAATACATAGGCACAGTTTTTTTTTATAAGCATTTAAAGATCAAATTTTGACAAAATTTATCAAAATCTCGAAAATTATCAATCATTGTAATTAATAAATTATAAAATGTTCAGTTTTTATAGCTAAGGATTGCAAATTCAACACAAAGGTTCTCGCAAATAGTTCAAACTGTAACCAAAAAATCTAAAAAATATATGAACACAGTTATTTTTTACAGACATTTTAAATTCAAATTTGGACGAAATTACATATATAAAACCTAGAATAACTATTTTAGTTATTTTGTTGTGATTGAATAATATTATTCGTGGATACTTGAAACTTCTAAAGTGTACTATTATATATCTATGATAGTATCACGGTTTTTGTTGATGTATAACGCGTTATATGTACCTAATGGATATTTTGATATGATTAATTTGGAATTTATTATAGGTAGGTACCCATTATAGGTCAATTTTTTGTTTAATACCATAGATATGTATATAATACCTATGTCTTATACATAGACTGACATACCGTCTCCACTCAGAATCGTTTTTCTTATACAATGATATTATATCGTTGAATTCAAATTTAATATCATCCATTATTATACAGTGACCCACTTGTAACCTACTGTACATCAGAGCGACACCCACTTGCCCACCTTTTTTATATTTTTACAATCAAAATCAAAATTATGTACATGTATTATTAAATTATTAAGTCATCTCA